TCTGGCACTGCAGATGCCTCAAACCATGAAGACTTACTCTGCTTAAATGCCCCCCCCCCTGCAGACAACTGGAGGCGAGGGGACGGTGCGATACACCGTGAAATGTGCCCTTCGACGGGTCATTCGTTTTTTGTGACGTACAAGGTCGACGAGCAGCTTATGATGTTCATGCAATTTACAAGGAGTACCAGCTCCTGAAACAGTACTCGCGATGAACGTGGCATGGCTTCAACGGATAAAGTAAAAAGAGTATTTATTGCCAGTACGATACTTCATCGCCAAAATATGCAGAAACTCCTGTATCAAACGACCCCGTCTCGGCTGCGCCTTGTCCATTACAGACAGAACCTTCTGAATGAGCGAGTTTCCTTCAGAAATGGTGCGCTGTGCAACACCAGTCTGACTACGGTCCGATGCGGATTGCAGGTAAGTGCTCTTTAATCGAGATATTCAATATCCAGTAGGTCTTTCCAGAGCATATCTTGTCGTTATGTCTGTCCTCGACGCTGCAAATTGCATTCAATGCCTCCTCCGAGTTGCTCAGATCATAATTCCTGGAAAAAAGCATCCCGACTGAGGGTAGATTGAACTGCTGTATAATCTGCTGTAAAAGACTGCCTTTTCAGGTACAACGACAAGCTTACAAGCAATAAACATGATTGATTGACTGACTGACGACTGAAATAATGATGGCTAATGCAATACGGCTGAAACATCAGTAGTTCCAGTACAGACTACGAAGGAACTGATTCGTTAAGTCAACAGCCACTGAAGTGACAGCTTATTACGGCTGAAAAGATTTTTGCAAGATTTTGGATGCAGCAGATAAAGGTTACTTGAAAACTTGCGTTTCAAATCTGACTAAATCTGCTTGGTCCGTCTTTTTCCTTCATTTTTTCCAACCCAAAGCCGTTGTTTCTATTTTATATAAACACGCCGTCGTTTCATATCGCATCCAACACATTCAACCTTTCATTTTTTGTCTGTACCTCGTTATGCTATGCGTATTTCTACATAATGGATCTCTATTCCAAACGAGATACCTATCGAATATGTCAGAATTTCACAGAATACCCAGAAGACAATTTCTAACGTGCTCTGACGTATAGTTATGTCAAGGGCACAGAAGACGATTCGTATACCTCTTTTCTACTCCAGCATCAACCCCTCGACATTGATTCTGAGTTCCTGTTCAACCGCTTGAGTTTGACACCACCCTGTCACGCTCAAAAATTATCAGTTCAACCTTTCTCTGTCTCCCATGATGACCCAATGTCTTAACCTGACTTTTGCCTTTTGCCTTTATTGGCTCTCGATCTTCAAAAAACTCAATGCAGTAAAGCTGTTAAATGAGAAGTCGAACTAATTTACTAACTACTGTCCTCCTGTATAATATAGTGGAGGTTCCCTTGCATGTTTGTTTCGCTATATCTTTGCCCATGTTTAGTTTGTTGGTTTTTTTCACTATGCCAAACTTACGTTACTTTATAATATAAGTAGAACTCTCAGGTCTATTGATCCACTACGTCTCTTACGCAACGCATAACGATAGAAACCCATGGCACTAATGTCTTTATGTTAACTTACTATTCAATTCTCGATTAATACAGCAAAGCTGCTGCTGAATGTTCAACTGACATTGAATGTCCCCTCCTATACTGTGCTTGTTCTTGAGGGTATATCGAACCGCTGTGAAAGGTACAGTTCAAGCTTCCTCTTCCTCGCACTGCCTTTTTCACGCTCGGGTCTCTTCTCGCGGTCTTCTCTCTAGTCTAAACTGTGTTTCGCCATCTCAGGCTACTTTTTCTTACACTCTCCTTTTTGTACGCTATTTCTGATTGAGGTCGCTCTTCTCTGGCTCTCCTGTGATAAACCAGAACCTCGATTTCTCTGAGAAGAACGCCATCATTTCATTCGATCTAGCTGTGCTATCTAACTGTTCGAAGTCATGCTCTCAAGTATTAAGCTGTAATATGCAGCTTATCTGTTAATGATGATCACTTAGAGTTTGTATTTTATACACGACCAGTTCTCAAACAATGATTTTTTTGTGTACGTAGCTGCCGCTTGTAACTACCTGATTGGCGGACTCCATCATGGACCTGTGTCCGAATCTGCTCTTAATGCCCGACAGCTAACACCTTGCTGAACATGGATGATTATTGCAATATATAACCGCTTTTCGGCTCCTTCTATTTCCTTTCCTCACTCCACCTCTTCTTCTTCACCGTCGACTGACCCGTCTTCGTCATCTGAAACTGCTGAATAATAGCCCACGACGATCGGTCGTTATATCGATTAATAATCTACAACTTTAGATTCTAAGCAAACTTTACGAAAGCACTGCTTGATATTTTATTGTCCACGCATTCGCTTGTTTTGTGCTTGCGTAATCCCCCGTAATCGGGGGAGAGAAATGGATAACTAGTAAAAATTAAATTACAGATTGCACACCAGTAGCTCCGTATTCACAGAAGTCATCTCGAAGG